ATGAAAACACAGTATGTCAGGGGCTTTGAGTGTTGATTTGAGACTTGCCAGACCCAAATTTCCTGCTTCTTCCTTGGAGTTAAAATGAAGTGCTAAAGATACACTGGGCAGAATCCAAAGTAAAATAGTCTTCCAACCACACTGAGAGAACTCTTGTGCCCTCTGATCCCTTGCCCTGAGTTTCTGCTGATAGTTATTTAACACATTTCAGAATGCTTTCCTCTGTGTGCACACAGCTGATGTGAACCAGCCTGCAAGAGAAACCTGAGCATTCAGTGCTCTGCCTTGGTACAGCATGAAAGACATAAAGCAATTTAATGTTATTAATTGCTAGCTGGCTTATTAGATTTACAAGAAATTGTCAAACCTTAAGCCCCCAAATAATCATTTCTCACCCAAAAAAAAGAATTTATTATGCCATTAACTTTTTTTCCTAGCAGGTTTTCCAAAGTGAAATCACTAACTGCTATAAAATTTTTATTGCACATTTTAATTTATTTCTCACTCCAGTTAGGAAATATCTCAAAAAATGTATTTTGGTATTCTCTACTGTCATTATTTGCCATTCATAAAGAAAATATTTGTAGCTACTTATTCTATCCATTCTGAATTTGAAACCTGTGTCACTTTTCCTTTTCTCTTTTTTACTTTCTGGAAGGTCAGAGACAAATGATATCAATAGAAAGTTTAGTTTTTAGATGACTGAATGGGAAGGAGCAGATGCCTTCTGCAGACCTGTGGCAACACAGGGGAAGGGGATGAAGGTGAAGGCAAAACTGCAGCAATTCAAGGCATTTTAGTGCTAAGATACACAAAAGGAGTATGGATTTACCTTGCTTGAGGCATCCAGGTTAGGGAGGTAATTGCACTGGGATCTCAGCTGTCAGCAGAGAGTCAGAGATGCTTTCAGGGGGAATGATCTTTTTCTGTACATTACACGGGGTCAGCTGCAACTACAATTCTACCCAAGTGCTCTAAAGTGCCCCAAGTGAGGCAAAGCCCTTGTGCCTGTTAGTGCTGCTTTACGTGGTTTATTCTCTGCTTTCTGAAGCAGCTGAGGGTGCAGGTGCCTTTGCCTAAGCACCCACTTGCAGAAGCTACAAAATATACATTTTCTCAGGGGTAAAAATTTTCCTGCATGAGGGAAAACCAATCTGTGAGAAAGATCTGGTGTGAAAATAAAGTACCAGGCTTGCATTATGTTTACTTTATGTGGATAACTATGTAAGGGACCTGGGGAAAGAGATTAAATATTTTAGAATGATACCAACTGCTTTTTGATCTCAGCATAGATTTAATACTCAGTTCTGGGGCAGGAGGGCTCCAAGCTGTTGGAAGCCTGAATTTCAGTAAGGATGTGAAACTTTAGCATCAAAAAGTCCTTGTAAGAGGACTGTAAAAGTTTTTGACAGAGAAGTACATAAACAGAGACCAAGACTGGGTGTTGATTGCATGAATAATGAATATTTCCCAAGTGTTTAATTCAAGGTTCTCATTTCCTCCAGTATAAGAGGCATCTCTGTGGATAAAATATCTCAGATATTTTCAAACCATCAATCGTTGCAAAATTCCTGGAAGATTTCCATGCAAGTAGTAATTGGCATAGAAGAATACAAAAAGAATCAATATTGAAACTATCTCCATAATTCAGAATACCTAGTCTGGGAGTCAGATTAATCCAAACTTCAGAAATATTGGAAGTGAAATGCTAGCTGCCTCTCAGTGGATTTGGCAAATGGACATTTCCACTCTGTGTTATGCAGGCTGCCAAGCCCTTGCAGTTTTTCCTGCTGCAGCTGAATTTGCCCTCCCTGGGCACCACCCCAGGCCATAAATGAGCGTGGCTGGGCAGCGTGGTGGCCACGCATGGGGCAGCTGTGCTCAGAGAAGGGGGTCTCAGGTACATGGTGCTTTCTATTTCTGCCTGAAATGTTCTGGTTTTCACTTCAGCTCACCCCTAGCCCTACAGCACAGGGATGCTTGGCCAGCCACACAATTGTCAGAGCTGTTAAAGCTCCCGTGTTCTTCTGATGTGGTTTAGTGGGAACTGCAGCTTGTGCAAAGCAATGGGCGTTTCCAGCAGCTGGTGTTAGGCTCCAGCACTGCTAAAGAGAGTTTATGGGATTGCCTTTGGAACTTACTGCACAGATGAAACTCTGTTTTCTCTCCTTCATTCCTGTCGAATACTGACTGACTGCACTTTCTCTGCAGCTGATTGTCAGGACGAGATATCACAACAGGAAGAGCACACTTTCATTATTTATGTGTCAGACACAGGGGTACATAGCAAAAGATGATGGGAAGGATTAAATCCTTCAAGCAAAAGGCTTAGGAAAGCAATAAGGTACTGCTAAAGGCAACTGAGTGCTACATGTTGGTGCACTAGCTCTGCTGACATCCACTGCACCCACACTGCAGGCAGGTGTTTGTGAGAGACAATAACACAAATGTGGGCATGGTGTTGAAAAGTCACACCTCTCTTAACTTTCACCTCCCTCACCCCATAACAGATTGTCTATAAGACAAACAAAACAGCATTGCTTTGCCTCACTGCCCCCAGTGTGGACCTATTTAGTCCATGGGTGGTGGAGGAGGAAAGGTGGGAATTACGGTTTTTATAGAAATGATCATTTAATAAATCTTCATTTTCCTTTATGTATGTTAGCATAGGTGAAATTATAGCAAAAAAAAAAAAAAAAAAGGAAAAAAAAATAGGAACATTATAATAACCCTTGTGGTGAAAAAAATTGACCAAAGTTTTCTTCTTCACAGATTCATCTGCAGCTGCTGCACCTCTGCCCAGCATTTCAATGTCCCTCTGAGGGGACAAACCCAAGTGTCACACAAATGGCACAGCAGAAGACAACTATGAATGTGTTAAAGCCCACAAACTGCTCTGCTTCCAGGTTTGGTAAACTCTCATTCTCGTGACCAGCAGGAAGGGGCTGTGTGGATGGGTGGGTGAGGGTGGCACAGTTTTCAGTCCTGCCCTAGAAGCATTTTTAAAGTTGTTTTGCAGTCACCTAAAGATGGGGAGTTTTTTTAAGGGGACAGATTCAAACCGTGCTGCGATGCCTGTGCACTGCAGTGTGGAAGGTACAGCTGTGTCCCCTCCTCTGGTGTGTTCCTCAAGAGTATTTTGTAAGTATATGAATTATGAATGGGTTTGAGTTGTCAAGAAAATCCCAAGAAAAACATGACACTGAGCATCATGTTACTCATGACATCCAGAAGTTATTTGAAAATTAATGGAAGATTATTTCCCACTCAGCTCACACAGACGTCTGAATCTGGGTGCTGCCAGCTACTGCAATGTTTTACATGAGAGCATGTGCAGAATGTTTTTAAAAGAAGAAATATCCTTCTGGCTTTGTAAAAAATAATCTTTGTGCAGTTGCACAATAAGCAGTTTCAGCAGTGAATCTGCAGTTCATCAGCACAAATGTTTAATGTGCAAACATGCAAACACTGTGAATTCATGGAAAGCTTATTTAATAGCATGATAGGAGCAATGCATATATTCTTCAGTGAGAATAAACACACATTTAATTTTATCTCATCATGAGAGATGTTTGTAATGTTGTTAATGCTTTTCTAAAGATGAAATGTTGACAACACATATTCCTTGCTATAAGAATAAATTAATATTGATTAATGTGAGTGACTTAATTTAAACTGTATTGTCATGTCATACCACTTAGATTTCTTCTGAATGATTTTAAAGCAAGAGAAGCTTCAGTTCACAAATAGATGAGTAATTATATTTATTTTAATTTTTTCTAGATATCTCTTTCAAGGTTTTTATAGATTCTCTTTCAAGGTTTTCATCATCTCTATACATGAAACTTTGAGCCTTTGTAAAATTCTCATGCAGCAGATTTTATCCAACTAAACTTGTCTTTAGTAACGCAGTAGAACATGTTATTATGGGTATTGTTCCTCTCTCTCTATTTCTGTCCATATTTTAATAATTGCATTAATTTTGCCCAGACACTACAGGGGTAGAGTAGTAAATGTTTAGTTAAATTCTAAAATCTTTATGGATTTCATGTGTTTAAGAAATTAAAATATTCTCACTTTCAATGCCTGTGCTAAAGTTGCTGTATTGTGATTCTCTCAATTGCTTTCTAATATGTGAATGAAGAAGTTCAAAGCATGAAGGAAAAAGTTCCTAACCTATGTAATTCCTTAGCATTTTCCTGTCTCTTCACATATATGTGAAAGAAAACAGCATGCTGTTCAAAAAATCTTTAAAAAAATCTTCTAAGCTATAGAGACTGTGAGGGTGGTGTGAAGCATTGGTGTGTTTGGGCTCCTTTGAATGAGTGCTTTGTGGCATCAGGTAATAGTTGAAGGAGAGCACAACAATGGGACAGTGTTTATTAGGATTTTTAGAAAATTTTTATAAATATCACAATGGCAAAGAAGTTTCTGAATACCTCCAGGATATAGCACAAAGACTAGAAGGGATTCTGTAGGAAATGTTGTATAACTAGTCCATTTCCAGGGCAGAACTGGCAAGAATGGGAGTATTAGTTGAATAAGAAATCTTAGTGTTTCTGTTTGATTGGCACAGGCAGTGTTGTGGTGCTCTGTAAATTTACCATGACAATGACTTTCAACTCTTTGAGTTGCATTTCCCAGACCCCAAATCAGCTCCAGAGTGTAATCACATGCTAAGTCTGTCTTTATTCAAGATGTTTTTGAGGATGTTTATCTTTCAGGGACCTCTGCAGCATCAAGCCAATACCCAAAGACGAGCACGTATTGAAGAGCTGTTCCAAAGCATGATGCTCTCCTGAGTTACCACAGTGCTGTGGAAATGTTTGGGAGAAGGAAACAACTCCCTGCTATCTGCCTCTGCTTGATCACAGCCTCTGCAGCTGCCTGTAGTTTTTAATGGACTGGTTTCCAAGTACGCCCATGAAATGTCACTTTTGGAGCAGAATGCTTTGGCACTGGGGGAGAGCAGTGATTTGGGAAAGCGGAGGGCAGCTGCAGAGCTGTGCCCAGCAGGCATCGTGGGGCATCCTGGAACCCAGATCCCTGCTCCTCTGAATCCTTTCCAAGCACTGCAGTGCAAATAACTAATAATAACAGAGCTGTTGCTGGGGGAAAGAATCATCCTTGTAAGTAATCAGATGGAGTGGGATGCCTGCAGACTTGGGGGGAACAAGCAGGTACTGTAAGCTTCTTAGATTTGCAGAGGCAGTTTTGTACGAGTTTTCCCAGCTTCCTGGGAGAAGAAATATTTTCAAAATGGGTCTGATTGCTAATCTGATTATGCCAGCTCAGAAGTTAAATTGAAACATGAAATAAATGAATGCTTTTGGAGTTATGAATTAATTAAAAAACTAATTAGGACAGATAAAAGAAATGCAAGTTAGGGAATTGTTTTTCTTATCTTGAAATAAGAGCATTTAAATTGAAAAGATGACATTAAACAAAGCCTACAAACAACTGGAAACCGTGTTAGGAGAAAGATAAGTCCTAAAAGGGGATTTTTTGTTTTCCATCATGATACAGCTTTCCAAACTGTATTTCTGAAGAGGAAACAGCAGCTTAGAGGAGAGGATATCTGCAGGCTCAGGGACAGCTGAAAAATAAATGCTGAATGGGGACTGAGTAGATGGGAGGGATACAGGGCTGGTGAGTCTCAGCTTCACTGCTGTCTGCTGAAGGAGTGTCCATGGGTGGCTGTGCTGCTGTGCATCGGGATTTTTGGGCTGGATCATTTGTGTGGCACTGACTCCCAGCTGGGTGGTGGGGAAATCTGTGGCCCTGGGCCATCCCTGCCTGCACCAGGCACTGGTCCTGCACCATGGGTGGCTGCAGGCCCTTGGAGCACCAAGAGGAAGAGGATGATGTTTTCTAATCACAAGTATGGAAAAGTTACATTCAGACTTTTTATCTTGGAGCAAATTATACAGGAATGTATAAGGAGTGCCTCAGCCATCTGTCCATAACACCTTTGGTATGAAAATGTTGCTGTGCTGGTTAATAACTGCAATGAATGATGAAATATCTGTGCACTGACTGGAGGAGTCGGAGATTACTTTCAGAGATCAGATGAGAAGAAATGCAGAGACTGTCACTGCTGTAATACATTTTAAAATCAAAAAGAGCTTTAAGCCCAAGTGGTTTTACCAGTAAGAAAGAGTCCCTGCTCAGAAAAGCTGGAAGCAGCATAAGAATTTAGGAAGTTAAAGTGATCATTAACATTAACATATTTCTCTCCTCACCTACATGAACATGAGAAAGAGAACCATAGAGGTGATGTATAATATTCATATTTCTTAATGCATTACAGGAAACTGTTCAGACACTGCAGAGGAAAGACAGATAAAAGGACTTGTACAGAGGAGTAAATGTATATGTCCCTGAAATGTGCTGCAGTATTGGGTGATCACTCAGTCTGGAAGACAGAGACTGCATGGCAGGTACCTGGCTCTGACTTATTGAATTCCCTACTGATAGCTGAGATTGTCTATTCTTGTTGAATTATCTATTAGCAAGAAGCTTAAACCAAACCAGAATAACAAAAGAACACCAAAAAGAAAGAAAAACAAAACAAAAAAAAAAAAAAAAGAAAAAAAATAATTTCCTGAAGGAGTTACTGTACTGTCCAAGATCACAGTGAACAACTTAAAAATCATACCTCAGAAGGGCTAGTCTGGATACTGTAGCCTGGCTATGAAGTTCAGAGCTAGTTTAACTCTCTCTCACACACAGGGGCTGAATTACCTTAAATTTAATTACCTTAAATCTCTGTCAGTTACACTTTTAACTGTGTGGTGGCTGTGGGGATTCATGTGATGAAAGCAGGGAGCTAATAATGTTTTCCTGACTTCCCTGGACAAGGAAAAACTTCATCTTTCAGAGTGTTTATAAAACAGTGTTACTACCTTAAGAAGTAACACTGTCAACCTCTGCTGTGAGCCAGGAGTTTAAAAATAACAGACAAACTTGAAGTAAAAAAGCAAAAGGAAGGATTACCATAATCAAATATACTTTATGAAGCCTGAGAAACTGAAGCCTGGCTTAATTGACCAAAAGTGTCAATGAAAAATGAATGGGGTTCAATAATGGATCTTCTCACATTTTAATACTTCTGTTCTAGTCATATAGTTCAGAAACTGAAGGCAGTGAAATAGTTCTTTTAAATTCACAGTTTCTTTGAAGTTTATGATAAGTTGATGGTTCAAAACATATTCTCCCATCATTGTAACCTACAGAAAGTAGCATAGCTTCATTTGGTTCTAGGAGTTTAACGAGCACAGAAAGAATTTGGATAGCTCCCAGAGTGATGAGCAATGTGTCATGTCTAAGTGAAGTAAATCCTATGACTTTACAAAGGTATTGCAGGAAAATGTGATCAGAAGCTCTCTGGCTCAGTAGGACCAGTAATGACAGTCAATGTCAACTACTCAACAATAAAAGTTCTGTTCAAGTTAAGTTCACTTATGCTTTGTGGAAGAATTTAGACAGTATTATACTGACTGGATCAAAGAAAATGGGGAAAAGCAGGATTTAACTTCTGAGTTTATGCTTTTAGCTCATGCAGATCAGCCTCATCTGATCATAATCTGCACAATAAGTTTTTGCCATTGCTGGAACTTCAAGTTTAAAAGCACATAGAAGTGCAGTATGTGGATTGCTCAGGTTTTCAAAAATCCCTATAGCTCCTGAAACTGCCAAAGAACTTGCTAAGTTGCAGTCTCCTAATCTTGGTTTTCTGAAACTAAAATGCTGAAATACTACAGAAATCTAGAGTAGATTTCTGAATAGAATTTTTTATTTCAGATAAAATACTGAAAGCACAATTTTCTTTAAAGCTTTTACCTCTGAAATAGATTTTTGGTTTGCACTGACCATGGGCTAGTCTATTTCATGTCCCCTTTAGTGTTTACTCCTTTGGGTCACTGAGACATGTGACTGGAGTAGCTATATGTGCTGTTTTAAACAAGTATTATCAAAAATATTTAGAAGATCTTTTTGTTTTTGGCCAATATTGTGTCCAGCAAGGTTGGGTTTATTTCCTGATAGGAGGGAGACTTTGTAAAAAAATAATCAACAGCGACACTTGCTACTGGTTTACTGAGGAGGTAAAAAAGGAGATGGGAACTGATTTTTGAACTAGGCTGCCACCTGCCATGTGCACAGGTTTACCACATGGTAAGATGCAAACCTTGGACGCAACTTTGTGAGGGCTGTGCTGCATAGAGGCAGATGTGCAATTTCAAATTGATTTTTTGAGACTTTAGAACTTCCATACAAGGGATGGCCTTATTTCACCCTCACTTCACAGATCATTATGCCTTATGTGTGTATATATAAGTATATATAAACCCAAAGTGTGTTTGAATAAAGGAACATATGCTAGAAATCAATGCTAAATCTGCTTAGCAGATTTAAATATGTCAAAATAGCCAGAGTGATACTAAACCATCAGCAGTTTTCTTTTATTAAACTGATTTAACACAGTACCAAGGACAGAAACAAGCACTAATTGGATAGAAAACACATTTCAATTATCTGTGGTGAATTAGCAAGCAGATAACAAGCACTATGTGTTACCTTCATTTGTAAGTGTTCCTACTCCACTCTCTAGCCTTTTAACTCTGAATCACTCCTGGCTCCTCAGAAGCTTTTCAGAAAGAGGTTTCTGATTTCTGTGCAAGGATAAAATACAACTTTTTAAAAATACAACAATATTCACTGATCTGGAATGATTTGTTTTATAAGCCAGATCATCTGCCTTTAATAAAACTTGGAGAATTCAGTGATGTTTTTCTGAAGTGTAATTTAGCTAATTAGCAAAACCCAGCCTGGTAATCAATAGAATCACTTGTATTACAGATGGCACTAACAAAACCTGTACTAGTTAATAAAACAAAAGGGTTTGCTTGCTCAGCTTTAAAAGGCAGAATGGCTGGTAGTTGCCAGCTGCTTTACTGAAAGTGCTGTATAATTCTTATGAATAAAATAGGACTCAGTTTAGGAGTTTCTTTCCAGGTTCAGAAGTGGTGATAGCAAAGAAACAAATTAGCTTCCACGTGTTTTGTGTGTCCAAAGAGCAGAGCATTTTGCAGGCTCGCTTTTACTTTCCTTTCTAACAGCAGCAGAGCTCTGAGATTGCCAATGGCACGGAGTCTTTTCTGTGTTTATGTTTTGTGTGTTGCATCCATTAACTAATCTGAGAAAAAAAGCCATACAACTAATATTAAAAAGACACCAACTAGCAGATATCATCCCCTTTGCAGTTTACATTAGGTGAACGTGTAAAGGATCAGGTCTGTTTTCTGCCATCAGCTCCAAAGCAATAACAAATCAGTCCAAGGGTGCTGTCCATGGTCCTAAGCTCAGAATCCTCTCCATGAAAATCCTTCCTCCAGTGTTGCCTTGCAGTGGTGATGTCTAAACTGCATGCAGCCTTTCTCCAGGGTAGCTACCCTGGATTCATCAGGAAATGTCATAAACAGTAGATCATATTTAAATATTTAGAAATTATGTTAAAGATGAACGACCTCGTAAAGTCTGTGCTCATTTTCTGGGTATTTAAAAGGTACCCAGACATGTGAGAAGTACTGGGGTCTGCAATGGGCCAGAAGGGTGGTGATGTATGAGCACACTCATGGGGGCTCTGGGGTAAAATCTGCTGTGTTCTTTTTGTCAGAAATCCCACTGGAAAGCAAAAGATTGCCACTGCTAAATCAAAACTGACACGTTGTAAGGCAAGAATTAATTTCTACAGACTGGCATTTTTTGATGGATAGCTGCTTTGTTGGAAACCTTATGTCCAGCAATCGTTTAGCCAGTTTGGATGAGGTGCAAGGGCACAAATGCTGAATGGGCACTCAGGGGGAAACACATCAGCCAAGCGCTTGCCATCCTATAGCTCAGTATTGTACAGATGGATCTGACAGCATCTTTCTGAAAGGAGGCAATCCATGCTGCTGAGATGTTTGGAAATCTGACAACAACAGCACTTGTAGCTGGGTTCTTTGGAATAAAGAAGGAATTAAGCTGCAATATTAAGCAGCAGGTCATGTTGCAAACCACCATCATTTTGTCATCTAGTTTGGGTATGATATTTGATAATGGGCCAAGTGACTCATGCCTTACCTTTGTTTTCAGAGCAGGTACTGAAATTTGAGTCAGATCATCCGCAGCAGGACTGTGATAAAGAAACTTTTTCCTGAACATTCCACAGGCTCAGCCCAGTCCCAGAGCTTGTGAATCTGTCTCTAGGGATGCAGCCACTGAAGGGAAAACACAATGATAAAGGACTTTTTCAGCTGGCTTATTTTATATCTGTGCTTATGCTGGCCTTTTGAAATGCAGTATTATGCCAGAACTTAATTGCAGCACTGTTAATTGCATGCAGAGCCATAAACACTGAGTTAATATATTGCCTATGACTCTGTGTGTAAATGTCAGTCACAGATTACTCGGCTACCTTTCTTGACATTAGATTTGTGAATATTTCTTAGGAAAGAAATCTTCACCAATATGAAATCTTTTGAACCACAGTGAAATTTAAGCCATTCAGGGAGCTGGCTGCCCCATCTGCAAAGAAATGATGTGGAAAAATTTAACTTGCCAGTCACTGAAAGCTCATCTCTGGGTAAGATTCAAATATATACAACTGTCAAAATCAATGAGGACTATTTCTTATGGGTTAGCAGTAATATTTTAAGAATGCTGGCAAAAATAGTCTCACAGCAAAAGTCTGCTGAGCTACTCTATGTCATGGCCAGATCTAAATATAGCATTTATAGAAATTGCTTCTCCTGCAATTTTTACTTCTGTCATCTTTGCAATGTGTTAGTGTCACTCATTCAGTGTGCTCATCTGATCATCACATTTTCAGAAGTAATCACAGTGTTGTCCATCTCACTGCCCAAACCCAGGGGAGTTTCTGGTGAGTTGCTGTTCACATCCCAGGTACCAAACTGAAGGTGTTGTGCCTGGGGCAAAGGGAAATTTACTTCACCCTCTAGATGCTGGAGAAGATTTAAAATCCATTTTCACTGTGTGTGAGGCAGCATGGTGTGGGCCAACTTTTTCTGTCAGAAATCCTTTACTGGCAAATTACTAATTAAATGAAATGCACGTGTGAAAGAAAAAAGATTCTGCTTTCTGCCAAAATCAAGAGTTTGTTCTTTATTTCTCCCCTCTTTCTTTTAAATATAGAATTGAAACATAGAACATTGAAAATGAAACATTGCAATTAAAATCCCAGAATATTTTTCTTTAGGAGTGCTTCCTTTTGGAACAGCAGCACCGCTAGTACCTGTCTGTTACTAAATCTTGTTGCTTTAGCAGAGATTTGTGCTCAGTGGCTGCTGCTGTTCTTGTCAGCAGCTGCCCATCCCCATGATGGCTTCTGGCCACCTGCCTGTCTGGATTCCTCCAAATCCAGCTGCCTTGCTGTGGCA